AAAGATGATAAAAATAATGGCTTATTTGTCAATCCTGATGTCATTTAGGCATAAACTCGATGCTGAGCTGCATACCACCACTGCAAACTTAATGCAGCTCTCTCTCTTTTCAGCAGCAGAAGCACAGAGGTCTTTAGAGACAGAAATTTAGGAATCTATTAAGATTAGTCAGCAACTTCACAGGAGTTTGGAACATCTAAATATGGGTTTAAAAGATTTAACTTTTGGAGTAGCCTTTGTCTTTTTATTGACCTAATTTGGGGTGCCCCACTAGTATGATGACTCACTGTTGGCATGCCAAGCAGAAAGTTATGGTGCAGGGCACTGCAACGCTTAACAGACAGTGATAATGGCCATGTTGATGAACATACTTTAAAAAGAGATTTGACATGATTCAGTGGGCACAGCAACTTTCACAAATTCATTTGTCCTCATTTTTCCTGCAAATCCTTTCATCAAGAATAATTATCCAATTTACAACCAATTCTCCAATCAAATTAAGCTCAGTTATTCTGTATAAATTTAGAGTAATGTCAGATTTATACAGTTGAGTTGAAAGTAGATTTTGATCCACAGAACCTCCATTCTAATCCCAAATGTGAGTTAGCTGAGCTATTATAGTAAAAAGAACACTATAATAGCTGATCTCAAAGAAAAAAAGATAAAATTTTCTTGCGGCAATTTGTTGCTAGCTGGTGAAATGTGCTGGTTCAGGAAATTATAGAGCCATATACTGGACTTTGACAGGTAGCAGATAATTTTCCAACCAAAAATAAAATTTTATTTCTCCCTGCTAAAATGTAATAATTTAATTTCATGCTTTTGGGCATCAGCTGAAGCTATAGGAGAAAGAAAGGAATTTTCCCCATATGAAAACTTTTGCACGGTTGACAAGCTACGTTATGGAATTTTTTTTTTATTTGCACAGAAGGATCAAGCAAAAGCAACTGCTGGAGGCAGAATAATGGACCTGAAGGACCACTAATGTAGCTAATTCAGTTCTTCTTAACAAATCAAAGTGTGCATTCATAATCAATGAGATCAGTTTCCAAACATCATCAACAGCATCCACCTAGGAATGTCAATCAATCGATTAGGGATCCATTCTACTGGACACTATACCCATATGAATAGAAACTCTCCATCCTTAAGACAACCATTCCTAAAAATAGGGGAAGGGGGAAGGGAGGAGAGAGATGGGAAGAAAAACTGAGGCACAGAGATGGGGGGATTTACTCCCTAGTTGATCATGCAGCAGGTCAATGGCAGAGTTGGGAATAAAACCTAGTTCTCCTGACTTCCAGTCCCCTGTCCTATCTGCTGGAGTATAAGGGTAAAAATAAATTATCTTCCACCCACAGAAGTGAATAAAATAAAATGTGTCAAGCAATCCAAGATACCAAAGGATTACAAAAGTACAGGAGCATGCATAGATCCTCATCATCTGGAAGAAACCAGTTCTACTATTGGTTTCATTTCCATTGTTATTCCTTCCCATATCCCTTACTCACTTTTTTATCAGCTTCTGGCATCTCTCTTCCAAGACCATTCCTAGATTCTGTTCATGGAGCAGTCATTCAGGTGTGCTGTATGTAAATTCTGACCAACATTGTTTTCCATTCCTCTTCCCATCTCTTTACAATTCATTTGATCTATTTTATTCTTCTGTAGGGGGCTGCTGCAAAAGCCAAGAAATTTCGATAAGGGATATGATATTAGAAAGATTTGCCAGTGCAGCCATAAAAAAATAGGTAATCATAAAAATATGAATAGGTTTCAGACTGGAATCATAGAAAGAAACTTCAGCAATAAAAATTAACAGTGTATCAGTTTACTGCCTTATGGTCCATTGCTTATTGAATTAGTCCAGTTGTCTCCTGGGACGGGATCATAAAGGCTTGCAGTAGAAAAATAATTTGAAAGACATATTTGTTTATGATCTTTCACTACCAAGAGAGAGATCAAACTCAATAGTTTTAAAACCAGCCTTCAGAAAGAAGTACCGAACAGAAACAACCTGCCTTCTTGGACAGCATGCGTCAAGTGTATGGGACTATGGCAAAGGAACCCTTCAGTGTGAGCAGTTTTTCAAGGTGAAAGAAAATCTTTGTCAAATCCCAGTGCTGAAAGAGAATGAGAAAGCATGATCAATTGTACCGTTGAAAGCAACAAAATAAACTATGAAAGCTAAACAATCTACCATTGTACAGATAGCAAATGAAAATGAAGAATCTATTTGATTTCTGTGTGTTGTAGCAGGTAGCTATTTTTTCTTAACTGAAGTTGTGCATAGAACATATGCAGATGAACTTCAATACTAACTAAAATGATAGCGTTATAACATCAGACTACACAAATATCCACTACCTCCCTTTGCATTTACAGATGCAAGTAAATCCCCTTGCTTTATTCCAGGGCTATTTGAGAATTGTTAATCCACATGGCTCAGAGATTTTATTTGGCTCCCATTTATGAGAGTGAGCAATGATGATTTTAGGTCCTTGAAGAAAACAGTATTCAATTTAAAATACGCATTTTCATTGCTTCAGTTAATCCCACTAGCTGTTTCTTTACAAAAGATACAACTTTCTGTGTTATAAAACAGAAAAAAAACACTGGTTTACCAGAAAAAAAATTACCTCCTAAAACAATAGTTTTCCTGCTTGGGTATCTTCCAAATTATTGATAATGCCCAAAGCATCTATTCATTTTCTTTCATTTCATTTACCTTCTTTAACTTGAGGCTGAACAGTTAGCTGCCATCTTTGCACTTGAAGAGGACTGCCTGAGAGTCTCTCCTGAGCACATTTAATGCTATTGCTTTTTGTAGTAGTGTTTAATGCAAGTTAGCTGGAGTTTTTTATCATATATGACTTGTAAATCAGCAGAGAGGGCAACGTTTTTGGCTGGTGTCCCATAAAGTAAGCCCCAGCTCTTCTCTAAGTGCCATTCCAGTCCCCTTCCCCTGCTTGTTCTTCTCTCTCCTCCCTGTGTTATCTGCACTCTTTTCCCTATTCTCTGCCAGATCTTCCATGTGCCATACAAAGCAGCTGTGCGCCCCATTTGTGGCATACATGCCATGGATTGGCCACCCTTACCTTAAATGACCTCATCTGGTAACACTTTAAATGAAAAGTAAGTAGATGTGTCATGTTAAATAAATAATTCCATCTTCAATCAGCTAAAACCCCATGTCATGACATGAGACTATCAAGACTTCACCAAGACACTCACATCGAATTGTGTTATTATTCTGGATAATTGCCACTTGGAGAATACTTAGGGAAATTATATCCATTTGTAAACATCTTACGAGGAAGAGTATTCCAAAGATACCCATACAGTAATTGCTAGATTGTTGCTCTATCCTCCTGGACCTGCCACCAATATTTCTAGCAATAGGGGCAAGGGAAAGAAAGCTACAGATAAGAAATTGCACTTCTACAAGAGATACTCTGAAGTTGATATTCCTCTCTCTCTGTGGAACTGTGCGACTCAGACCAATTTTCATAGATAAATTCTTGCTTGAAATTTACTTTAACTCACTGAGATAAACAGGGGCTTGAAAGAAGAGAAAGCTTATTCCTAACAGTGATCTCTACCCAGGAGTGAGATTTCCTCTATTTTGAGGAAATAGATGAGGCAGATAGCACCAGTATTAGTCAGCATTCCTCCAGGGCAGAGACCGAATTTGCAAAATAACACATGAGATCTGTATAAATGTGTACTGATTAGACAATACCATGTGTTCAGTTATTATCTCACAAGAGGGAGATATGAAAGATCCTTGAGGGAAGTCGCATAGCAAATTCTATTACACAATTGTCTAATACCACCAGTTGACTCCTATTATCTAGGTATGACTTCAATCACTGTACAGAAGAGCAGTTCCAGACACAGAAGACTGTCTCCAAATAATATAATTAGTAATTCATGGCCAGTCTTTGGTTTTCCAGGAAATCCACAACCTACAATTCTGACCCCTTATATGCTTAAAACAAATTCTATATCTGCAGTGCTTTTGGGTGTAGTTGAAGAGATACAGATTACATGGAAGTAACAACTTCTTGACATTGGAATTCTTGCCAGTTACTCACCACTACTGACTTGTACTGGATAAAAGTATTGGAGCATGTTAGCATTACCTGTTAATATTTCTTCAGTTCAAACAGGAGTCAGACATTCATAGCACAATTTTATATTATAACATTACGCTTCTAATTTCCTAATTCCAATAACATTAGGTTGAAGTTGCAGCAAAGTAGGTTTAGACTAGATATCAGGAAAAACGTCTTCACTGTTAGAGAAGTGAGGCAATGGAATAGGCTGCCTAAGGAAGCTGTGGACTTTCCATCCCTGGAAGTGTTCAAGAAGAGGTTGGACAGCCTTTGGTCAAGGATGATCTAGGTACAGTTATGCCTATGTTCTATTATGCATATTTCCCATGCTTCTGGGCTTTGCTGGTTGCTGCATGGGGCCGGGAGGGAATTTCTTTCCTTCCTGCTACTATGTATGTCAGGGCTTTAAGCTTTTCTCATAGGCGCTGGGTGCTGGCTGCAGCTGAGGCTGGGGATTTTGACTCGGTGTGATAGAGCTCCTGCTGGGACTAAAACCCAGAGGTTCCTGACTGGACGGCATTTCCCCTCCACTCAGGGTCAGACCGATTGATCTACTTGGGGTCAGGAGGGAATTTTACCCCATGGTCTGTTGGTATGGACTGGGGGGGGGGAGAGATAGGGGGGATTGGCCTTCCTCTGTAGCAGGGGGCATGGCCCTCTTCATAGTATCTCTCAGGCATATTTTAACAACTTTTGCAGCAGCAGAACATTGGCCTCTGTGGTCCCCCTTGCAGGTTGGGATTTTGTCTTGTGTTGTGTCAGGGTTGATGTTAGGCCTCTGCACTGTAGCTAAGCAGCACTCAACCCCCTAAGCAGAGCCAGCTGAGCCTCAGCCTGATAATTGCTTCTAAGGCTGCTTTTAAGGAGCTCTTGCAGCACCTGGCCCCTGCTGCACAACAGACTGGCTTCAATCTGTGAGTAGCTCTTGCCCATATGACTTCCCTGGTGCTTGTTCCTGCATTCCCGCCCATGTACCCAGTCCCTGACCTTCAGAACTGCAGTTTGAGTTTGGTTCACTTCTTGACATCCACTTTCTGGCAACCCCTCAGGCTTGATGCATGAACCCCAGTTGGACTTCAGCTTGTGCCCTGACTACAGATGCTGGTAATGCTGCTGGCTCTAACCACTAAGCTGCTGGCTCTGTGTGTCCTGAGAGTTGACTGTGTAGCTTTGCTAAGATGTTAGACAATGGATTTGTTTAGGATGCTTTGAATAAGGTTGATCCTGCCTCAGGCAGGGGGTTAGACTAGATGACCTCTTGAGATCCCTTCCAGCCTTGCTTCTCTATGATTGTTGAATTTTGTCACTATTGACTCCAGCCATTACTTCTGTCATTCTGTTTTCCCTCTCTCACCAAAACAGCCTCATTTTTCCATCTCCAATAACCATCATACCTGTTGTTGTTGTTGTTGTTCTTCTTCTTCTTCTTCTAACCTCCTTCATCCTCACTTTTGGCTTGCTCCTCCCTTATTGTTCTATGAATTTATCCTTTCTTTCATGTCAATAGACCCTCTTCAAACCTGCTATTCTGCTCCCGTGTGCCCAAACTGAATGAAAATTCATAACACGTTTTTTTGTTGTGTGTTTGTTTTTGTGTTTTGTTTTTTTTTTTATTACTGATCAAACTGTGTTTGTTTTTGTGTTTTGTTTTTTTTTTTTTTACTGATCAAAACAAAACCCAGACCAAACAAATCAGCCATGTGATCTCATTGCCATGAGATGGAAAAGATCTAGAATACATTAAGGGATATTAATATAAAGAGAGGGAGGTGCTTACCTAATATATTTTTTCCCTCTAACTTCTGATTCCTCTAATTCAGAGATGTCAAACAAATGGCCTGCAGGCTGGATCAGGCCCACAATGCTAATTCACCCAGCCCACAGAGCTCCCAGATGGGTTAGGAATTTGGGGGCAGGGCCTGACACTAAATTTCTAGCTACACAACCCTGCTGCAGATGTGTGTTGGTGGTGAGAGGAGCAAAGAATGGGTATGTTAACCCCTGCACTACCACTCACCACCGCTTACTCCACTTCATCCAGGTCTGGAATCGGCCCACAAGACTCCTTGAGGTCCAAATGCAGCCTGAAAGGAGTCCCACAATCTGAATCCAGCTTGGGATAACAGGTAAGTGTGATGCCTCTGATTAAAATGATGCCCTTATCATTAAGTCTATTACAATTATGCAAGTTACATGTGCCAGTTACATAATAGCATCCTCTTGTAGTCTCAACTCAGGCCAGCAATGGCAGTTTACTAAAAAAATTCTGAATGTGCTTTGACTGTAAGCCAACAACATGCAGTCAGCTGTTCTGTGGAGTAATACCATAAAAATGGTGATGATCACAAAACACTTGACAAACATTCACTAAGTAACCCTCACTCCATCCCTGCAGCTGCAGGGAAGGAAATGAACAGCTCACTTCATGCATCAGTGAAATGCAGCCACTTCCAAAGCTAAATGGAGCTGCTGTTTACAACATATTAGCAATACTAGGAACATTTTGAAATACAAAGTCTTAGGTTGTCACTGGCTCTCCAATACCAGTAACAAAGGTACTCATAGTAAGCATGACTTCTTTGGATGAATTCTAGAGTTAATTATCAAAATTTAAATAACTTGTTGCTGCACTAGCTCATTACAAGAGCTTAGTGTGACCATCACAGGTTTTAACTACTAAATATGCATATTGCACAGAAGAGGGCTCTGATGTTCCTTTTTTTGCCTTCTTTCCAAGTATCTATTATTTGGGCAGGATCTCTCATCACTGCTAGCAAGGGAAATTTGCTATTGCCTTGAATGAGAGTTGGAATGGATCCCAAGGGGGCCTCAAAAATCAGGCTAGAGGGCACTGCAGTGAAGTATATCATGGCTACTCTGTAAGTACTACACCCCAAGAACAATTATAATATTGTCACCTCACAAATCTCAAAAGGGCTTGCACCCAACAAGGACGCTTCTCCAGAGACAGAGATCATACTTTTGAAAGAGCCACCCAGATACCACATGAACAATTGCTGCAGTACAAAAAGAAAATTCCCATGAATCACAAACCATTAGTTATGACATGCCATCCCTCCCTGGCTCCTATACGGAAAATCTTCAAACAGTTGCAACCCATATTGGAAGAAGGCCTAATTCTTAAAGAGAGATTTCCAGAACCACCCATCCTAGTGTTTAAACAAGCACCAAACTTCATCACCAAAAGCAAATGTCCTATGACCCAAGGCGCACAGAATGGATCCAGACCATGCCGGGGCAAAAAATGTAAAACCTGCCAACACATCTCCACCACTCCCACAATAACTACTCCCAAGAACAGAACCATCACCATTCCTGGATCTTACACCTGCATTAAATGCCCTGATGGAAAATGTGTAGGAGAAACCAAACAACAACTATGTACCAGAATGAAGGCACACTGGAAATATATCAAAGACAAAAATTCCCAATTACCTGTGGGTGCACACTTCTCACAAGATAACCACTCTCTCTGCACTCTCTTAGCTCTAATCGTCAAAGGAAATTTACAAAACACCCTTTCTAAATGAACTTCCAAATTTCACTTCATAGATCTACTGGATACAAAAAATCATGGACTAAATATCTAGTTGGTCTAATAAAAAATATTGCCTCTAGCACACTGATACTGGATTTATGGCACATTATAACCTGCCTGCCATCTGATATCCCCAGGTAACCTATCTGCATTTTACCAGCTACATTTCATCACCTGGTCAACTGGTCAACATTCCCTCTTTCCCCCCCCCCCCCCCACCCCACCTACCTGACTTGCACCTATTGTCTCCTATCCTTCTGATCCTCACTGCCATGCATTTGCATTTTCACAGACCTGCATTTTGGCTTCTGTTCTACCCAGGAGAGCACACAAAACACCAGTAAGCTCTCCCTATGTCTGAAGAAGGATGTTTGTGCCCAAAAGCTTGCAAAGAACAATTTTTGCAACTATTTAGTTGGTCTAATAAAAGCTATCACATCTGCCCAAAGAACCTTGTCTGCCCTGGTGCCTGGTAAGGAAACTACATTACATTTTGGGGTGCAGCATATATGGAGTCAGTTTTACTTTTGTGCTCCCTAGTTTGGTCCTTGGATGATGTAGACAACACCTAAGTACAGCTTGCATATGGGGCAAAAGAACTATGACTTATTTACATTTGCAAAAATAACATAGGAATAATTCCTATAAGTCAACCATACTATAAGAAAAGAGCCCTTTTTACATTTCAGCTTTTGTTTGTGTTGTTTCTTGGCAACAATATTTGAAGGATAAGAATATTTTTCAGTATAGAAAATAGCCTTGCACATCCCTCAGGTTAACTAGTTACAATGCCTTATACTTCTCTGGTGTACCATGCTGCATGTTTATCTCTAAGTATATAAAATTACATAATTTTATAGAGAGAGAGTTTATCTTAAACATACCTTGGAAAAAGCTGATAGCAAACTGCTAATATTCAGGTCAGTTCTCCTGGGTATTTTCATATATTCTGTACTCATGTAAAGGTCACTTTCCTATTGATTTAAAAATCTAAAGATTGCTAAAGGGTACAGTACCTGAACTAAACATTCAGACATTGAGCACTATATTTTGACAAAGATAATAACATTCCTTCTTTTTATTCCATGCTTCATCAGTTCGTTTAACCTCCTAAGGCTAAAAATTAATAGCGCATATTTACACTTATCAAATCCATCATCCTATGAGACTACAAGGGATAATTAAGCAGGATTAGATGTTTTAAGAAAAATTAAAGGAATCTTGTCAAAGCTGGTGGGCTTAAAATTAAACTTGTCTTTCTTGTTGGTGGGAGTTATCATGGCTCATTGTTCTGCATATCAGCAGACATCTTGTGAGCCAGCAGAAATTAACAGAGCGTTGCTCTACTCTCTGTTTTGTCTCTAAAATGCATGAAATGCAACTAAAATTACAATTTCCATAGGCTACTGTCAAATTAATTAACACATTATTTAAATAATTGACTTTTAATGTGTAGATTGAAAAATTAGATATTTTTTTTAGGTCACTTGAAATGAAGCTTCCTCACAGAAGAGATATTTAGGAAGGATTTTTTTTAAAGGACTCAGTATTAGCCTAATACTGTTCCCATTAAAGTTGGTAGATATTTGATCATTGAATTCAGTAGGCATAAACTAAGGCCAGTACTGAGTGAATGCTTTTGCAAATCTTATCTATAATTTCTAAAGATGAAAACAGAAGTGACTGTGATTGTGCTTAATATTTTTATAACAAATATTGTCATTGGTTCACCCTATGCCTTGTCTGGACTTCTCCAAGGGGCATCTTCTTCCCAGGGATTATTTGCACTGGAAAGTACTATATTCAGGCTGAATGCGTGTGGCAGGATACTTTCCCAAAATTCTACATAGGAAATGATCCAATCAATCCTAGGCCCCAGTCCTGCAGAGTGCCAGGTGTTTGCAGGATTGCAGTTGTGTTATATTGTATCAATTCTATGCAAATTTCAATTATACTGTTCCAATCTGGTCCAGTTCTACTTTTCGAATGAAACCCGTCTGTTGTAATTGAATCCAAATGCTGAATCCCATATGCCTTTAAGCATGAATAGTGACCAGTCATCATTCCTAGTTCTGTGTATATCTGACAAATTCTTAGATCAGACTTCATGTAGAACCCTACTACACTCTGGGACAGTGGAATCAAGCAATCTTTGTCTCCTGGACCCCAGAACCTCAGTCCTCCCAAGTCCCTAGTTGCTAAACATGTTTCCACCTAGCTACTGGAGATATGGCTCATAGTTAAATGGTTCACAGCAGTGCTAGATCTAGGCTTAAACTACTTAAGCTACAGCATAGACCCTAACAATATGAGGGGCCTCTAAATAAGGAAAAAAACTGACTCAATATCAAGTTTTATAATATTCAGTTGGTAGATAAAGGAGATATGGGAAAATAACTCTCTAAATATGAACATTTTCAATTTCATATTGACAAAAATATACATACATTGGATTATTTTTATTGTATGGGGCCTCTTAAACTGGACACAGTTTAGGGCCTCAGTATGTCATAATCCAGCACTGGTTCACAGGAAATGAGGTATGAAGGTCACAGTGTTGTGGAACAGGACAGCACTGTGCGGGAGTGCAGGCTGCATCCTTAGAGAAGTGTAGCAAAAGAGCTTGCTGCTACCTGCTGGAGAGCTTTGGGAACCATTCTCCCAAAACAGTTTCTGGGAGATCCTATAAGATCATTATTTTTACAGGGTCCATTTTCAAGGGTCTATTAATAATTTCAGTAGTTAGATTACAGATGTACATGATCCAAAATGATCAAATGTTAGGTCCCTATGTCCACCCCCCTCAAGTTATATTTTCTAAAGTTTTATTTTTATATTCTGACCCTTTTTCCCAATTAATGGTCCATTTATGAAATGCATATGCAGTTATATCTGTATCATATGGCTCATTAGAGAGGCATTGGCAGTAGTATGTTCCATTTCTTTGGTCTAATATGAATGAGTTCATTAAGAACATACGATAAAATAATCATCAAGGTCAGTTTCTACCATTTAAAGAGAAATAAAGAAACACAATTGATCTGTTTAAAACAAATTAAGCCAATCTTTTTTTTTTTAATATCCATAGAAGAGATATTAAACTAGTTTCGCATTACAGAATACATTTTCATTCAATTGCACATATCTGTTTGACACACAATGCCAAATGCAATTTTCTAGCAGTGTTCATTGATACATCAGGTGCTGCTGACAAAAAGAAGTCAACATTTAAAGGTATAAAAATCAGAAATAATTATATAACCTAAAATCTGCCATCAGTCTACGGATAGATGTCCATTTATTTACTGGAAAAAAGTATCCCATTATATACAAGAACAGCAGAGCTATCCAACCAGCAGAAAAGAATTCAAATTGGCCTCACTTTGAGGAAATGCAATGTGTTTCTGCTAATGGGCCATCACATCATATTATTACTATTTTTTTATTATTTCAACAAAAAACATAAATGTCCCTTTAAATTTAAAAGCAATTTATTTTGTAAACGCACGTATCTGATGGCTTTCCTTATTATAGTCTTTCAGCTTATTTTTTTCATAAGTCATGTATTTCTTTATTGGTAAGTCAATTCCAGAGGAGTTTATCTGATGTCTTATTTGAGACTAGGCTGAGAAGTTTGTGGCTATATTATCACCTATGTACTACTAGTACTGCTTAGAAGGCTATCGTACCAAGCAAGGTACACGCACTTATTATGAGACTGTCTGTTTTCTAAATTGATTACTATCTTACAATCTAAACAGACGAGACAAAGATTTGTAGTAAGGACAGAGAAACAGAAGCATTCACAGAAGAACAAGCTCAAGGTCACCCAGAAGATCGCTGGCACAACTGGTGACAGAACCCTGTGTTGGATAGAGTAAGTCAGGAGACGTATCTGTTAATCCACATTGCCTCAACTGCTGATTATTTGCATATCTTTAAGACCTTGTGTGCACTGCAGTAAACTGGACCTTAATTCTTTAGCAAGGTTTGCTACTTCCCAAGGCACAATGGAAAGCCTGCAGCAGATGTATATGCATTAAAAATTGGCATTGTTGTTGAATTGCAAATGTAAACTAATACAAATCAGTCCAAGATTTGCTGCTACTTAATTTGATGTTACATTTGATTTCCCTAGGGTTTTAAACTGCCCCAGATGTTTGTTCTGATGACACAAAACTGCACCATTATTATAGAGTAAGGCAGAGATTTTAACACATGGAGGGAGAGAATAGTTAAAGAATCAGCATCTCTGCAAATGGTTGGATGTTTTTGTTGCCCCTGTGAAGTAATTCAACTTTGAATACTAGGAAGAGACTGCACATCCTTTTTGCCTCCTCATGTAGGCAGAGGAAGAGGGGAAAAATGATCACCAGCACCAATAATCCTTAATGGCAACTAATGACAGATCTTACCCTGCCACGATATGTACCATTAATGGCACACTATGCTGGATGATTACTTTAGGTGAATGTTTCTACTCTCTAGCCAAATTATCCTTAACCAGAATGCCCTGAAATTCTTTCAAGGATCCCAGGGGTAGTTCACTGAATAGTCTGGATAAATGGTTCACAATCAGCCAAATGACATTCAGCAAGGCCAAATGCAAAGTCCTGCCCTCACAATGGAATAATCTCATGCACAAATACAGCATAGGGAGTGACCAGCTAGGCTGCAGTAGTGGAGAAGGGCTTAGAGGTTACAGTGAGCCGCAAGCTGAATATGAGCAAAAACTGGTGTTGTTGTCAAAAAGGCCAACAGTATCCTGGGTTTGAATTAACAGGAGTGTCACTTGCCAATCAAAAGAAGTGATTCTTCTACTCTGTTCAGCATTATTATGGCCTCGTCTGGAATGCTGTGTCCAGCCACTGGTTACTCTACGTCATGGCTCCGGCTCTGCCTCTGGCTCTAGCTCCAGCCCCACTCTACCCTGGGCCACAAAACGCGTGGGTGGAGGCAGCTCTGGAAGCAGCTCCTGCTCCAACTCAGTCCTGGGGCAAGGGCTGCTGCCACCATAACCACTACTGTATGGCCGAGTGGGGGGCAGTGCCACCTGTGCTTCTTGTCCAGGGCCAGAGAAGGACAGAGCCATGACTCAGGGTAAGGGGAGACAGGGAGGCAGGCAGCAGGAAGGGCCTAGAGAGGGAGGGCAGAAAAGGCAGGGGGACCAGGTACCAGGGTGTGCAGGCACACAGAGACATAAACACTTGAGGGGGGAAAGGTGTAGGGAGTGATAGTGGGGAGAGGCAGCCTGAGGCATGGTGTAGGGGGGGCAAGAGACAGGGATCAGGCCTCTTCCCCCCGCTGCTTGTCTGCCTGCTGCTGCTTTTTTTGCTGCAGTGACAGGGGGATTGATTTAAGAGGACCCTCCCATAATTAGATAGTAGACATGGAAATATATATATATAGATTGGGGGGGCACGTTAAACTTGAAATCATCTTGGATTTGAGCAGATAGTGTTATACAGCATCAAGTTAATGTAATGCACTGTAATGTT